GCTTCCCAATGGTATACTCTTGCCAGGACCAAGTGTTTACTCTACGTCGAATCACTGAGCAATGCCGACGATCGCAGTGGCATTGGTTAGATAGTTTCTTGGCCTTTAATTGTGCATGTGATCCACGACATCATCCGACAAAGTGAAAAATGTTGAAATGCCACAGGATACCTGAGCACACCGTTTACATTGTGGAATAAACCGTGTCTACTGTCAAGGTTGAAAGAAAGCAATCTGAATAGTTTCCGATTCGCTGTGCAGATCGTCTAGGAGAAATGCTCTTGCATTTATCATTTAACGTTGTTCTTGACTTTCTTTGCCGAAACGGAGCCGACACTGGCACAGACGAAGGCTCATTCTAGAGAGAAGGAACAATCAGAGTCATCAGGCTAAATATCTTCCTGACATGGAGTACGCAGATGATATTCTTCCAGTCAGTATTACGGTCTCTCTGAGTCTGTAGCTTTCGCATGCACGACACTTGCAAAGTTGGCCTTTTCCTTAATGCATGGAAGTAGAAAGTTCTGAAGAACCCGCAGCTGAAGTACAAATGGAATAGGCAGCGAAGTGTTTGAGGAGGTTAATCAGTTGACGGACCCATCATCTCTGACGATGGCACTGTCCAGTCAGAATTAAACAGAAGGATCCTTAGCCTTGAGTGCTTTTGAAAAGCAGTCGAATATCTGGGCTGAAAAAGGAGTATCTCTTCCAACAAAAGTCCGCCTGTACATTGACTCTGACAGATTAGCGCTGTTTGCGACATGGAGACCACTTTTCTCAGGAAAGAGCAATAAAAATGGTCAAAATACATAAAGCGGCGTTAGATTCGACGAACAATGGAGGTTAAATGTGGCGATCATGCAAAGAATGACTCTATTCTCTTTCAGCCGCAGGTAACGTCAGTAACTGTTAAAATTAAGCAAAGGAACCCAGTGCTCTTGTAAAATCTGGTTGAGCATATAACATGTGCCGCAATCTGTGAACCACGGACGTAGAAGTCGAAACGCAGCAGAAGTCGATAAGAAAACCAGTATATAACTTGGAGGAATACGGCAGTGGCAGATCTGCTCTGGAAACGGATTTTCCTTCTGCGATGCAGTAATCGGTGTCTGATAGTAAGTGTTAAACAGTTGCGAAAACAACACTGATGATGTTTTGCTAATCTCAATGTGATGATCCCAACAAACACTCACAGCGTGCATCATCGTGATGGTAATATAGAATCAAGAATGTTTTTTGTTTACGACTAATCACTTTGGTCCGCCAGAGGTATCGTAACGGGTTTTAACAAGTAAGAGAGATTTTTCCACTTGCCAGTCATCTGAGTGATCATATTGCTTGGGCTGTGTATAAATAAATCGGTCACCATATTGAAATATGGGGAAAAGTTCTGTATCTGCATAACTCAACTAGTCTTTTCCGTTGTCACAGTGCCAGCAATGAAATGACGGTCAGCGCATCGGATTGTAGAACCCTGGTGGATCTGAAGAGGTAATAATTTCACAAGCTTTAATTAAATTAAAGATAGACGTCAATACATAAATCCCATTCGAAAGAAGTCGAAAGAGATTTGAAACATAAAGCTTCTACGTATTTTCTCAAGTACAGTCATACTGACTGTGCACCAGCATGTCCAAAGATCAAAGGAAAAATCTGCATCCGCTGCGTCAAGATATAATTTTTTTCTCCCTATACTTTTTAGTTCAATCATGAATGAACTAAAAGTCATATCAAAGTCTGGTTGCCAAAACCATTGAGAATAAGCCTAAGAATAACTGATAACGTAAACATTCGCACCTGACCAATTCAACATGGTAATAGAGAGAGTTGGTGTTGTCCTCCTTGTCGTATTTCTCTTTCATCATGTCACTAAGCTGCTGATTTCCAGCGGTATCCGTGTAAAGCTGCAACACTTCATCAGAGGCTGACGTGATCTAAACTTTGCAAAAAATGATCATTCAAATATTATGAACGTACACATTGAACTATACTGATACTGTACTGATTTTTGCCAAATTATTCAGGTTAATACAGTTTGTAATATACTTTTCTCACACTGAAGCAAACGGTTTAATCAAATAACTGCAACGAATTTGGGAAGACTATGCGAAAAGGACTCATAAATTTGAATGACATTGATGAAGGACAAAATAATAAAATTCAACTATTCATCATCGCTCAGCGCCTCACTAAGGGACTGTGATCAAATTTTTTACAGGGACGTGGATATGCGTCAACGATGTACTAATCGGAGGAAAAGGGAATTTGACTAGGCAATTTATTGATTAATGATAAAATCGGCGAAATAAAGCTATCTGATGTGAAAAGTACTGGCAGAGTTAAGAAACATTGAACGTAGAATCGTCATTCAGTCGCCTAAGTGATAAACGAAAGCTGATCAGTCCCCTATATTTTGAAAGCAGTTTCGTGCAAGAAACGAATATTCTGACTAACAACAGAATGGAACAATTTGACTCAATCTGTGTCTCAGACACAGAGCATTGCCGAACACTGACCGCTTATCCTCGATAGTAAATGGCACAGTGATGAATTTCAAACTAAAAAAATCCATAAATTTAAAACAAATAAGAAGTACCTTAATCAACTGCTGTAAGCTACTATGTTAAAACCAAATCTTTCACTTTACCGCTTGTGAGACTTTGTCTTGAGTAACAGCGATTGGCTTGTCTTCAGGCAACAGTGTCTGCAGGAAGCGCAGAAAAGAGACATTCCTTCCTTTTCTCTCTATCAACTGAACTATATGGTGAATCAGACGTTCGTTGACATCCGTGCACAAATCACGATTGCCGTTGAATATCGCGCTGAGAGTATCGACCGCATCAGGCTAAAGCAGCTGTTAATTCCAGAACAAGCAGAAAGCCAATTTTCATGATAAGAATCGAGCAAAAAACATACTGAGCTAAGTTAGTACGCAAAATTAGACTAGATAATATTACTGTAAGGAAAGGAAAATATCTTCGGGGGTGTTGGTTTTTCACAGGCACTCAGGCGCAGCGACATCCTTAATCTCCATACATGGCGAACCTTTAATCTCCAGAAGAGTATAGGGCTGATAATAAACAGAAGTGTTCCAGCTGTTCCTGCGCGTCGGCATTTAAGCGCGGCTTACAGAGAACGAAGTGGAAGCTGATTTGCCCACAACGCACTACTTGGTAAGAAACATCCGTTACTAACATCTGGTTGGCGAACCGGTGCGGGACCAGTAAGAAACCGTCCAATCAGAGACCCATTGACTTCCTAGGATTGACGAATACCACAAATAGGCCATGGCCGTTTACTCGATATCGACCACGAAGTGTAAAGCATCGAATTGAGTTTGACTAGAATTGAAAGTTTAACGCATGGCTATGCAGTACTAAGTTTTCCAATGCAATTTGGTGAAACGTTCATCACTCTCAGGAATATTACCGGTCTGCATTTTTATTTGTGTCTAAATACTACTGAAATAAACATAGCAGAAATGCAGATGAGTGGTTCAGGCACTTCGAGTTCTGCGCCAAAGCGAGCTGATGAAAGAGGCGAAACGAAGAGACGTGGTTAGGAGGAAGCGTTTTGTGACACGGTCCAGAAGATGGACAGAACACTGATCACGGACATCGTGATGGTCCTGCGAAAAAGGTTCTATAAATAGTTGAAAGAAGCACGCTTCAAAGCTCAGCTTTGTGTTTTAAAGCGTGACCGGAAGCATTACTAGAGTTCTCTGAACCGCTTCGGAACTGCATCAGAGTGCCTCTCTCAGTTCGAACGCAGCTGCCATTGTGCGGCTTCATGGAGAAAATAAGGGTTCCGTTGCAGCCACAGGTGACGTGACCTCATCCGAAGACACTGAAAGATGCGGCTAAGGAGACATCGAAGTTGGAAGTTATCCGCACAACGACCAGAAGAAACAGCAGACTTCGTCACATGGATGTTCCGGAACAAGAGAAATCAATCGTTGGTCAGTTACACGGTTGACTCGACATTAAGTTAAGAATTTATGACTGTGAAGTACATTGTTTAAGTTTGCACCACAGTATGCATGCAACTCTTCAAATAGTTTGATGGTACTGGGCAGTTTCTCTTGCTCCTAATTGCCTAAGAAACCTAGTTAATGCAATTCCTTAAACATCAAAAATGACATTTCAGAAGCTGGTTCTCCTGTTTTGAGACAGCAATCATGATGAAAACACTGATCTTAATGGGAAGTATGATAACTTGATAACTGAAGTAAAATAGGGCAAAGTAGCAGTAATTTTTAAATTTTACACAATTTCTTTTCTGATGTAATCGATAAGACAGTGTATCAATGCGGATTCGTCAGCAAAATAGTTTCCAACCATATTAGGAGTTTTGAAGCAAATTTATTTCAACTGTCAGATGAATGGCATTAGAGTCATCGAAGATGAGACTTTTTATCAGCCGCCTAAATAAGAAAATTCCAGTGCTTTTGTTTAATTGTTATAAATTAAAATTATTATTTATGACTATACCTGCTACGTACTTTTGCTTTCAGACTAGGCAGAAAACATATGTTAAAACCGAAAAGCTTACTCCGTCAATAATTAGAAACGTCGCTTTGTTGGTGTCACTGTGGATGGAAATACGCTGATGCAGTAAAAAC